GGGAGAAAGCCAAGTATTCATAAAATCCAGGCTCTTCATAATCCTGTCAGAGATGTTTTAGAGAGGATTTCTTAGAGGGAAGGTTGCACTAAATAATCTTTAAGTCCCTTCTGAAACATTAAAGACTGCCTGTAACATCCCATCGTCACTGTGAAGAACCCCAGAGATGGCCAGCATGCTGAGTGAGAAGCACCATCCCGTGGCTCCACAGTAATGTTGAACAGAAACAGCATTACACACTGGGAACAGTAAAGAGAGCACAAGGTACTTCAGTTTTGATAAATTATAGATAAGAATTTAAACCATCGAGCTGGAATCAAAATAGATCAATAGTAAAGAATAGATACTTCAGAAATAGATAAAATATACATAAGAATTTAATTTCTGATAAAAGGAAGAAGCCATTGAGGATATGGAAAATTGAGACTATATATCACCTTCTAGAGTAGAAAAGCTATTTTATATGTGGAAATGAAATGAAAATTCATAAAGAAGAAAGTAAACATAAAACTATTAAAAAGAACCAATGTGAAGAGGCAAGAAATGACTAGAGGAATGTTTTTAAATAATATGAAGTCCAAGAATTAATATGCTTAACAAATAACTAAATACAAGCTAATAAAAAAATGAATAAGACTTCTATTTGATAAATGAATACAGAGTAAGAATAATCTATTTATGAGAGAAAATGAAGGGAGAAATAGAAAATAAATAAGAGTAGTTATAAAATAATTAAGGTAAAATAACAGGATGCCATATTTGTATATCAAATTAGTAAATACTAAGTACATAGGTATAGTTTGGAAATCAGTTGCTCAGCACATAAAAAAAAATTTAAAAATTTGTTATAGGATGCATAGGCTTATCACAGAGAAACAAAGACAGAAAGAAAGAGAGAGAAAGTGAGAGACCCTCTCTTCCTAACAAGGGTAGGATGGCCATGCAGCAATCCCTTCTCTTCCACTCTCTTCTGAGGATTTTAAGCACGCAAGCACACATTGCCTGTCATGTTTTTCAAGCCATCAGGCCCAGGACTCACACTGTGTGGTGCACCATGTGGGTTCCAGCTGCCTTAACCAGCCGCCAGTTGGCCCCACAAGAAGACATTTCTAAAGTATTCATGTTTTTGAACCTACTATTACTATTAGTAGGGAAATAATTTTAACTGCTGAAAAGCAATATGGATAACAATGACTATTGTGATATTATCTGTGCAAAAAGGAAGAAAGAAAGAAATAAGAGTTTATATTTAATAAGTGTTTACTACATGCAGGTACTAGGTAAGTTATTTTATGTAAGCTATCACAATTAAATCTCATGATAGTTCCATAAAATGGATATGATCACTATTTTGTAAAAAAAGGTAAATGCTTTTTATATGCTTAGAAATATTAAATTCTCTAGGGAAACTTGGCTAGTAAGAGTGAAAAAATGAGAATAGTCTAAATGTAAATAGTAGAGTGGTTAGGTAAACTAGGGAATATTTATTTGCTAGATTACTTAAATTTTTAATATGAAAGTATAAATGGAAAAATAGTTTAAGATAGAACATTAAAAAAATGCATAATAGGAAATTTTATGTCCAGTATGACTGAAACACTTGTGTAGAAAAAAGACTGGAAGAAAACACATAAACATTAACCAAATACAAATCAGTGACTATGAGATCCTGTCAACAAATGTAGTCGTTGGGCAATGCTGAGAAAAAAGCAAAGTGCACTTAAATTGTCAGGCTGCAAAAATGATGAAGGGAAGCCCAGAAAGACTCAGAAAGGTTCAAAAACAGTTTAAGCAATTTGGCTAATACAGGAGATAGAGAATGTAATTTGGAGCAGATACGGTAAATCTTCTATAACGAGTAGGGCTGTAATTCTTTTCATGGTAGGTTGCTAGGAAAATCATAAATTGGACATGGTTAAAATGTCAGAAGACTCAAAATCATAGGAAAAATAATGAATTATTGAAGTTTTGGCTTACTCTAGAAGGTATACGACATTTTCTCAGAGATATGGAAGGTGAGACAAGAGTAAAGTAATTTCTGCTATATGAATATTTCAATTAGGCAGCTGGGAAAACTTGGATAGAAAAATATAAATCTTTACTCTCAAGTTATTTGAAGAAAGTATCTATTTAGATTATCTTTTATGAAAAGGGGCTTGGATAAACATATATTCAAGACACAGAAAATCTCATGTATGTATACACATACCCACAGCAGATAAATCTTCAATTATATGAATTTTATTGCATTTTGCAGAATTTTAGCAACATTCTAGGGATAATGTTTTATAACTCAATCGTTGTCTTTCTTTTTTCCTCTGTATTTTCCTGTCTTTTGTACATTATCATGCATTTTCTGTCATAATAAAAAGAAAGGGATAAGGGGCCAGGTGACTGCTCTGCAGAGTGGTAATGAAACTGTACCCACATGGCAAAGGTCCTGGATTCATGTCCCAAGACTTCCCTGAGCATGTCAGTTGTGCACATAAGCCAGTGATCCTGATCAGCTAAGACTAGGGGTGGACTGTGAAGACCCTGTTGAGAATGCCTCTCTCTCTCTCTCAACCTGTTTTTCCCTCTCTTTTTTTTTTTCTGTTAGGAAAGAAAGAAATAACTTATTAATTGAAAAATTAAATAAAAATATGTGTATATGTATGTACATATTTATTTATATATACATATACACACTGCATATGTACATACACATATAAAATGTGTTGTATTTCATTTACAATTTTTCGACTATGGCCACTTTTTTTAAAAAAAAGAATTATTTTAATTAACTTTATTTATTATTATCATTGTTATTTTCCAGTTTTTGATCAGAGAAACACACACAGAGAGAGAGAGAGAGAAAGTGAGAAAGCAAGCCACCAGGTCCAAGACTTGAACCGTGGTCAGTCATGTGGGAGTCCAGCGCCTTTAACCACCATGCCACTTGTTGGCCCTCGACTATGGCCACTTTTGATCAAAAAACAAGCATATTTGTTTGGTCAATTCACATAAAGTGCACAGATTTGTGGGTAAAGAACCTATAATAGTAACATTCTAAAAGCACTTTGTTTCTATTTAATGCACATCATCTACCCTCACTAATGTGATGACCCGAAGTGCTCTGTTCTCCCATGGTAACAATGGCCACAGTATAATAACTGTCAGCTATTTTCTGTAAATTCTGAGAGGGCAGGGATCATGACTGCTTCTTCACTGCTGGAGACCCTGCACTAGATGAATGTCAAAGTGTATATTTATTCAATGAATGAATGAGTGAATTAGTGAGTGAATAGGTACATTTTATTTATATCTCCTAAGTTAGCTTGAAGTTTCACTTTTCTGATAACATCTTACCTCAGAGCCTCAGTGACCGATGTAGATATTATTAAATTACTAGTCTGTAGCACTACTTGACACCTGTTTTTACATATTTTTGTTGCTGTTTTGGTTATTGTTTTTCAATTTAGGGAAACATGCTCCTTAAGGACACACATTTACATGTATGCATGTATATGTACACATATATATGTGTGTGTCTCTGTGTTTCTCTCTCTGTGTGGACATGTACACATATTTGTACATATATGTGTGTATACAAAAACACTCATACACACATATGTGTATGTATACACATATACACACTCATATACACATCTTCATTTTCCAAAGCACCTTTTATAGGGCATATGTAAAATCATAATAAATATGTGTTAAATTAAATGATGTAATCTTTTAAATGACTTTTGACTTTGTGACCTTTCATTTTCATTTTATCTGTTTAATGCATTATATTATGATTCCCAGTCGTGGCTGGGAGAAAACAGGGGATTTAGTGTCAGTTGAGCTAAATTTCCATTTCGGTGCCAGAAAAGTTATCTATACTGATCTACAATTTCCATATTCATGAAACGAAAACATTAACAAGCATGTATATGTGTGGGTCTGTGTGTTTCTCTCTGTGTGTGGACATGTACACATATTTGTACATACATGTGTGTATACAAAAACACTCATACACACATATGTGTATGTATACACATAGACACACTCATATACACATCTTCATTTTTCAAAGCACCTTTTATAGGGCATATGTAAAATCATAATAAATATGTGTTAAATTAAATGATGTAATCTTTTAAATGACTTTTGACTTTGTGACCTTTCATTTTCATTTTATCTGTTTAATGCATTATATTATGATTCCCAGTCGTGGCTGGGAGAAAACAGGGGATTTAGTGTCAGTTGAGCTAAGTTTCCATCTCGGTGCCAAAAAAGTTATCTATACTGATCTACAGTTTCCATATTCATGAAACGAAAACATTAACAAGGACAATAGCAAAAATAAGTGAGACCAGCAGTTGGTGTAATGGTTATGTCTCGGGACTCCCACGTAGTTGACCGCAGTTCAAGTCCTGGACTTGGTAGCTTGAACTCATGCCGGGCACATGTGTGTGCGTGCCCAAGATCCTAAAAGGAGGATGGAAGAGAAGGGATTGTAGCGTGGCCATCCCCCCTGGGGGGTGATTTCTCACTTTCTGTCTTTCTGTCTCTCTCTGTCTTTCTGGTGAGTGCACATGTCCTATAGCCAAAACCTCTCAAAAAAAAAAAAAAAAAAAAAAGAAAGAAAGAAAAAGCAAAAATAAATATCTATTTATCTCGAGGGAAAAAGACATCATGTCTGTGAATGAGTTTTGAGTTTTATAAATTGGAAAGCCAGTATCAGCCTCTGTAATTGGCAATTTTAAAAATGCAATTGATGTTGCAAGGCTACAGAGGGTAGCACACAATGTATAGCAGTAATAGGGTGGCTTTTTCAGAGAACAAATATTGGACAGAAGAGCAAGGTGATGTGGAAAGGAATCTCAAGCACAGCTTGCCAAGTATGCCATGTTCATACATCAAAGACCATGTTCAACACTTGTGGTGTGGAGGGATTACCGAGTCACAGGCACCCACGCCCTTTGGTACTGTTGCAAGCATCTTCACAACCAGAGAAAGCTTACCAGACACAAGCTGCTGTCCAGGCAACCCCACGGGAACCATGCCCAGGTTATTCATGGCTGTTGCCCAGGCTGTGGGATCTGTCACGGCCATGTTGAGCTGGGTTGTGTCTATTGCTATACTTCCCAAACCATCAGCTGCTGTGGGGGAAAAACAAATTGTGACTTTGAGTTAATAATAGGCAAGGGTGTTTGTTTTTAAAAGAAATCATGTTGCTTAGAGATGTGAGGCTTCATTTAGTGCATTCCCAAACCACAAAACCATAAAACACTATAATGTACAGCAGTGTTTTCTCTAGACATAAACATAAAGTGTTCCCAAATACTTTCTGGGAGGAAACTTAATGATATGTAGTTTATATTATACACAGTGCACCATTGAGGAGGTACCCCTGGAAAAACACTGAAAGAGCGCTTCTTTCTCTCAGTGAACCATTAGTTACGTTATAAGGTTGAGAGGCAGCAGTACTTTCAGTAAAACAAGTCAGTTGGCTTAGGAGATTAATAATAAACAAATGCATCTATTTCCAAGTATAATTATGGAGCAAATACACCTTCAACCCATCTAACAGAGACATAATTGTCAAGTAGTAACTCTGGTCCTGACTGAGTTTATTAAATGTTACATATAACATAGTATCTTCTTTACAGACTTTTACATCATTACATTAAGAAAATATAGGTGTCTACTTAAAGTGATTTCTTCCCAAAGTATAGGCACTGATTTTCATAAAAGGAATAGAATGAACAATGCCAGTCCTGTGACCCAGTGGTTAAAGGAGCTGGCTCCCACACAGCCAGCCGTGAGGTTTCAATCCTAGCCCAGGTAGCTTGAAAAACACCACTGGTCCATGTGAGTGTGTGCCCCAAATTCCTACAGGATGGAAAATGGAGAAGACGGAATTGCAGTATAACCATAACCCATTGGGGTTACTTTCTGTCTCTCTTTCTCTCTCTCTGGCAAGCACATGTCTTTTCTGGCTTAGAAGTAAACAAAAAAAAATAAAGTAACACAAATTGTACTGAGCTAAAAAAACAGCAGACTATTTCAGATTTTACCTAATGGTTTTGACTTTTACTATGAGGTCATTGGAAAAGTCATGACATATTTTTCTATGCAAAAATGCATCATGGCTTTCCTGATGACTCAATAGTTCTGTATTCTGATTTCTTTAAGGGCCCAGGTTCCTGGCTCAGTGCATGTTTTCTTAGCTGGACAAACTCCACTAACTCCTGTGCTGGCTACTGACATTTACCTGCAGCCATCATCTGAGGAAGCTCCTGGGGACACGAAGTGATACTCTCAGCTCCACACACATCTACCATTGAATTGAGAGCATCTTGGGGAGCAGGAGTGCTTTGATGGCTGAGTGCAGGGTCCCCTCGGAGATCATCGGATTCTGTAAAAGGGGACAGAAGTGTGGTAAGAAGCCATGACAGTTAACTGAGAGAACTATAAGGATAAACTATAGCCTGTTCAAAAACAGAAACAAATGACAAGGACAGCTTCCCGTCTTGGATGGCACAGAGGCAAAGCAGCTTGCGATAGGCCCTCAGTGGCTGTTGTATGGCTCAGTTTTGGAGTCCTGTGAGATATGGAGGTCAACCCATCAACTTACCTAGAGCCAGGGCAGGCTGAATAAACAGCACCTTATAGCTACATCAAAATGCCTTGCTTCCTACTGAAAAGCCTTCACAAACGGGGGCTTATCAGTTCCTGCACAGCCTTTTCCACACACTGCACATCAATGGAGAGGGTAGACTACGGTTAAATATATTTTAAGTTCAAAAATTAATTGATGTTGTTATTTTGGAAGACGGTCATCTTTGTATTCAGAAAGGAAAAAAATCTGGAGTAGGAAGAAAAAAAGCAAGAGCCCATTCATAGTGAGGCTGAAAAAAGGCAGCTACCTAAATTATAATAGTTAAAAAAAAAATTATAATAGTTAGCAAAGGCAAAGGGAAGAATTATATGCTGTCTGTAAAAGAAGATCTGGAGGCTGAGGGGGTAGCAAAGGAAAATCATTAAGTTAATTAATATAAATTTTTCTTAGAATTATACCTTTTATTCATGTATTTTTTAAAGAATTATTTCATTTAACTTTATTTATTTTTATTCATTTATTTTAATTTGACCAGAGAGGGACAGAGAGAGAGAGAGAGAGAAAGTGAGAAAGCAAGCCGCCAGGTCCAGGACTTGAACCACAGGCAGTCACAAGGGACTCCAGCGCCCTTAACCACCACACCACCTGCCAGCCCCTATTCATGTATATTTTTATGAGACTTTTAAAGCACTTTTCTAATCAATATAAATAACAGTACAAATTAAAGTTAAAAAGTTCCTCACTGTATCACACTATTTATAAAATGCAATGGTTTCTCTCTACCCTTAGAAGTGTAAAAACAGAGCATTCACACATCCGTATTTCAAGTACACACTCACCAGTTCAAAACTTAGAGGAGTGCCCTGACAAGTTTGATCTTAAGTAGATATAACAAATAAGTGTAAATGTTTCCTTTTATTTTGGCATAAATTCAGAAATTTTTCTAAATCATGTTTCAGTAAATGATAATTTTAGAAATTGAGTATTTTGGTTTGTTTGTCAGTGTATCTAATATTAAGTTTAAATCTTTCATTCTTTTATTTCTCTGATTCTTGGGTGCAAGAATCAGTTATCCCTTGAGCACTATACTGTCAAAAAGAATTTACCAGTTGAGTAGAAGTTTAATTCAATTAGATGTTTAGGTCTCAATAACTCAGAGATAGGTACGTGATGATCTAACGGTTTCTACGGTCTCAACAAATCCATATTCCTCAACGAGAGGGGTACCTGAGACAGTGAAGAACTTTTTTTTTTTCTTCTCCAATTGTCTATCAGAAAGATCACACATCTTCGTCATCAAACAGTGAGTAACTCAACTTGAGGAGCAAACTATACTCAGAACAAATATTTTATACCTTGCCATTTAACTCTGCTATCCAAATGAATTTGGAATTTGTTCATATATTGTATATCAGTTATGTTAGGGAACAGGTACCATCAAAGAGATCCTCACCACATAAATCTAATAGTGCAAGTAATACGTCACTAACTTAAATATCTGCCCTGTCGCTGCCAACTCACCAGACATATTTCCAGGATGAAACCTCACAGCACTTTTCTCTCTCCATCCAACCATTTCAGAGCATCAAGACAGAGTCAGACTAGAATGCGTTCCTTCTTTTACTCAAATAGCCCTGTACTAGAGCCGTTTCAGATCATTGCAAGGTCACTATTTGTCTTACTTATCTCTCCAAATGAAGTTTAGTTGGCTGGCTTCCTTCTAGCTCCAATTCTCCCCAAATGCACATTAATCATACCTTTTTTCTGTCTAATGAGTCTGCAGTTCTGGAACACTATATCAGAGAACATCCCTGTACTTTGTAGGCTTTATGACTTGTGCCTGACCGACAATGTTTCACCTTGACTTTCTACTATACTATTTTAGAAATGGCATTAGCTTTAGCTTCCCTCGGCTCTGTTACTGTTCCAATGGTAGTTTTCACCTTAGGAATTATATTCCTTAAAAGGGCATCCAGTGTCCTGGAAGCCGGTAGCTTGTACCAATTCTTTTCATGATCATCTTAACAAATAACAACTGCTTCACTGAAAACTATAACAAACTGCTACTGTTTCATTGAAAAAGCATTGCTCTGTGGGTGAATGTGATTTGTAAACTTTGGTTTATTTTCCAATAGAACTCTGTTTTTCAATTTTTTATATCTCTTCAATCCCAATCCAACGGTTTTAATGACACATCTCTTCATATCTACTATGTAACTAAGATGGTGATTCTAAAGTAAATTCTGTCACATATTCAGCACTTCCAATAGCCCTAAGGCTGCCATGACATTCTTTATAAAATCTAAATTGATTTGATCACTTGACTTAGAAGAAAAGTGATACTTCTAATCAATTACTACTTAGTAATTTATGATTAGTTGAAGAGCTATTTTTGAACATTACTAACATCTATTGTTACTATTGAATACCTGTCTGTTTAAATGATTCAAGGCCATAATGCCTAATTTATCACTTGAATCAATCTTGCTGCGTTAGTTTTCTTACTTCCAAACTATAGAAAAGATTAATACTCTTAATAATGTTTATTTATACACAGAGATGTGGGGAGTTAAAAAATTATAGCTAATAAAGTACTTTGAATATAGTGGGTGATAATTTCTATTATTTTATTTGGAAGTGTAGTGGTTCCATTAAGGTACCCTGGGATCTTTGTGTTCTGGTAGATAATTATGTAATTAATTCTAAAACAGTGAGTAACACTTGATATTTCTAAAAGTAAGTGTTGCCCTAGTTTTATATGCCACATCTAAACTGTAGCAGAATATTTTATTTTTTATAATTCCTTTTAAAAATAATATAACTTAAAAGCTATATTAATTTTTTCTCTCTAGGTTTTTTTCCTGCCAATGCAACTGCCAAAGCTTGAAGAGATTCATAATGAATGATGAAATTGGCAATTTCTATTTATAGGTTTTAGTGAGGTATGATCACAAGACAATCAGATATACAAAATGCTATGGGTAAGAGTACAGTTTTGTCTAAATTTAATGGATATCTAATCTGTTCTTCTTTAAGATATTTTCAAGTACAAATCATACCCAATTTTATATAACCAGTCAACAATGGGTAGTCGTGCTCAGCATTTCATTGTGCTGTATCAGTGAATGAAACAATTTGTGAAATTCTCCAAGTCAATGAGAATACTGTTTGGCCTAAAAATGGGCATAGGCTATTCCCACTCTTAAACACAACCTGTTGTAACCTTTTCCAGCTTTCACAGGTACCAAGGACACACACAGTGGGAATAATGAAACCTGTCTGTAATTGTCCATCAAACACAGATGATTCTTAAAAGGGGGTGGGGTCAGCTAGATATTAAAGTTTTTCTTTATTTTTTTTTAAAGAGTAATTTTGTTTGATCTAAGTCATATCAACTTTAATAACAAAATAATTATATTGATAGAATCAAATTTATTAATGTCTTATGAAAAGTTAATAACAATAAAATTGTATCATGTGATATCCGAAACCTCATTTTGTAGGAACTCTTTATTAGCTTTGTCTTTCATTAGCTGTGATTTATATTTATCATAAAAAGAAAACAAATACTTTTACATCCAAATTTCACTCTCATCTTCTATCATGGAAAATCTTTATGTAATCCCTACAATACTCTTGAAGTTATGGAAATGTTTCATGGTTTAGGACAATATACAATATTGTTAAGAGACCAGCAGGTGACATAGAGATTAAGACACTGGACTTACTCAGGGCTGACCACGGTTCAAGTTCTGGACTTGGCAGCTTGAAATTCACACTAGGTGCGTGTGCCTACGGGCCCCAAGTTCCCAGAAGAGGATGGAGGAGAATGAATTTTGGTGTGGCCCTTGAGGAGATGATTTCTCACTTTCTGTCTCTTTCTCTCTCTGTCTCTCTGGTGATTATATGTTCCCGATAGAAAAAATTATAAAAAAGAAAAAGAATATTGTTAAATAGATGTTACTGATGTATCAAATCCATGATTTTTAAGCATCTGACTATAAATGATAAGGGAAACATTTTTCTCCCTATAATGGTAAACTAAGAAATTGCAGACCCGTTTTCTCATTAAGGGACAACTAGAAAGTTTAATATCTTTCATCAGTTTTTAAAAACTTTACTTGTTGGGGCCAGCAGATGGTGTAATGACTTTGTCACTGGACTCCCATGTAGTTGACCACAGTTCGAGTCACAGACCTGGGGGTTTCAACTCATGCTAGGCACGTGTGTGTACATGCCCAAGATCCAGAGAGGAGAATAGAAGAGAAGGGATTGTGGCATGGCCATCCACCCTGGGGGGTGATTTCTTGCTTTCTGTCTCTCTGTCTCTCTCTGTCTTTCTGGTGAGCGCACACACCCTATAGCAAAAATCTCTCCAAAAAAAAAAAAAATCAAAAAACTCTACTTGTTATCTCTTCAAATACAGAGACCAAAGAACACGGTTTAATTACTGAAGAGAGTTGCAAAATAGGCTTCTGAGAATGGATCCTGTTAACTACTGGGTTTTTCTTTTACTGATTATGGACTTAAGTGGAACCTGCAAGTTTGTGGGCAGAGTGGAACTGCTCTGTGAACTATGGTAAAAGAGAACATGAACACTGAGTGTTTTGAGGAAGAAGGAAGGAGAGATGTCTGGTAGCCATCTATAGAAATGGGACTACATAGTAGATGAATAACTAAAGCAGAATTTCTGGTGGCTCACTGGGAAGTTTGCACATAAATTCTTCCCCTGTTCCGTCTACAGAAATGTCAGCAAAGTCTACCTTGCTCCTTAAATCTTAGGTAGGAGTAAATTT